TCTGAAGTCTAACCAGTCAAGCTGTGGTTGTTACAGAATATCTTAGACTAATAGGATGGCATAATAAATTAAAACTTTAACAAAATGTAATCAATTGTTATGTTAATTTCCTTCAAGAGGATTTTCCTTCAAGAGGGTGGTAAATTCTTACCATCATTAACAATAACCATGGCATTTTTTTAATCTTTTCTAATTATTAATATTATTATGTATTTAATAAATATGAAGTATCTGATGCCCACAGGATTAAAAACATGCTAAAAGTGCTTAGCAGAAGTTGAGTCCTTAAATGACCCTTCTGTATTTCCTTTGTCATGGCACTAAACCTGCTGTGCTTTTTGAACTTTAACTGAGTGAGTGCGGCATACTGTATTTATATCAGACACATTTTTTTGTTTGCATTTTGGCTTTATGAAATGTCAGAATCAATCTTATACTAATGAAATGTCCAAATTTCATCTCAGCTATGAACATAGCTGCTAATCCTATAAGATGTTTACTTTCTGCCTCTCTGGCTATGTATAGTAACAGAGAGTCTGCCAACTTAAGCACTGCTGACAAACGTCGCCCTACTGCTATTCGGTCCAATAAATGTTATTTCATTGACAAAAGATTTAAAATTAATTAATTAAATGTCATTAAAATCCCTTGCAACCTTTGCTCCTACTGCAGGCCAGTATAAGTAGTTAACTGAATGCTGCATAAGTATCCCCTGAATTACAATCAATTCAGTGATTTTTATGCTTTAATCTTACAGTTTCTTAACTTTAATAATTGTGGAATACAGCTTTTAATGGTAGTGGCTGTATTTTGGGCAGAAATGTGAAGGGAGAAAGTAGAGATGAAAGGAAGGCTGTTTCAAGGGATGCAAAACTGATTGGAAAAATGTAAGCCAAATGCCACTCTGAACAGACTTTAGCCTTCCTAACAAATTGTATGGAGTGTAACTACAGACCTTTCAAACCTTTCTTAAAAATGGATTTTAAAATTTTTACTGTGGCCTTCTCAAAGTGAGAGATATGTATTTCTCAGCATGAAAATTCTTGGTGAAAGCTGTGGCCAGGTCACAGGTAGATTGTCCACTGAGGAATGTGGGTGTATTTGTATATGTAGTGACATATTTTCCGCTTAGCTTCTGAGCTTCCATGCCTTGGCCACCTACACCAACACCTCTAGATGTCTGCTGAGGCAGAACAGTGTATTTATTTGCACTGACATAATGCCTGAGGAATTACCCAGGAATAGGGCCCTGGTGTGCTGACTACCATAGGAAAAAAGATCACAACAGATGTTTCTCAGACTTCTAATACTCAGGAGAACACTTTGTTTTATGTGGGAATTGCTAGGCAGATGACAGATGTGACCAAGCAGCCCCTATCGCGAGAAGCAGTCCTATGAGTGGTCATTAGACCTGTCCCACAATATCACCCTTCTTTGGACTCCCAGAGCTCTTAGTCCTGCTGGCTTCTTGAGAATGGTTGAACAGCATGCAGCCCTCTTGCAAAACTTCCATTGCAAACCATCTGAGAATCACTGAACTTTTATTTTCCCCCACAAGTTATGGAGCAAGCTGATGAGGAAGAGGAGGTAACATCCACAGGAGCATTGTGGGAATATGGTTTGACACCTGACTTGCTCTCCTGTAGATGAGTGTGAAAGCTCAGAAGCAGCAACTGCCACTGACTGGCTTGGTACCTCTGACTGATGCTGCACAGCTGTTAACTGTGAAAACAGGACATCCACTGTTGGGTGCTCTCCAGCAGTGTTACTGTTCCTTATAGTTCTGTTGGTGAACAGCAACCCAGCCTGGAACTATGTGATTTGGGCAGATCTTAGAACAGTGTGATCTGACATGAAACCTGGATGTATTATCTGTATTTTTGTATTTATTTAGGAAGTGCCACTGACACAGCAAAGAAAACTACATATATGGTTTTAAGTTCTTCTTGTCTTAGAAGATCATTTGCTCAGAAATCAACCTTTGGTTTGGCCAGTGGAGACCTTAATGATTCATCTTTCTGAAAGAAATTGATCAGGATTTACAGTACTAGTATCTTCCTTGTTCCAAGGTGAATTAGAAAGATCTGCTTTTCTAAGTGACCTGCAATTGCCTTTCATGTGTCAGAAACAGGAGCCTAGCTTTAAAAAAATGTAAATGAGATTGATTCATAGTGATTGTATGTACATAGTTATCAGAAAACATGAAATTCAAATCCACGGGCTTGTGTTCTTGAGTAGTTGTGCTTTCCTCTTGTAATAGACTTGTTCTCATCTGATTCTCACCCTTGTTCAGTTAACATTGCTGGAGCTTCGGGGTATGATTTACAGTGTCTTATTTTGATGTCCATGAAGGACTGATCATCAAATCCATGTTATAGCATGACAGAAGTACTGATCAGATATATCATATTTCCTGTGGTGACATGGGACCAAATAAACCTTTCTAGCTCTACTGTGCAGGACTCAAAATTATCTGTAAGCCCCTTTAGACTTAAGAACTTGCACCTCGGAAGTCTCAGGCAGAAAGGTGTCATCTCTCAATGTCTGATTGAGAACCATTTTCTGTTTAGTATTTTTAACCTTCTTCTTTTGTTTAGTTCCTGCTCTGCCACTTAATGTAATGCCTGCTTATTGCAGAGTGCTTTTAGTTTGGTCCTTTTAAAAGCTCCCCGAGGCACAATGATGCCTAGAAATTAATGTATTCCCTTCCCGCACATCAAGCAGACGTGTGTATATTGAGTTAGTGTCTCTAACATTTAGCTAATTTCTTTTCAGAGCATAGTTGAATCACTGCTACATACTAAACCCACTTGAGGCCTTTCCTCCTTAAACTATTGGGACATGTACTTTTATATATACACAATATTTTTAGCTTTAATCACAAAGCACTTGCATGACTTGCAGATTTTTGTAAAATCACTAGTCCTAAATATGCTGCACTATTGGGCAGCATAGTGCTCCAGCTGTTGGATGTGCCTACAACCAACAGGAGCACAAGTAAGGCACCCTTGGCATTCCCAGACCTGAAGGTCTTTGTCATATTTTTTTCTTACTGGTTGGAATAGAAGTTATCTTTGGAAAGGTTACTGCTGGTTGAAAAGCTGATTGCTGTGGTTACCACGCTAGGTAAAAACATCCTTGCCAAGAAATTAACGTGTGTTCTATCTAACTATACAGCCAGCTGAGGGTAACTCCTGCTTCTCCTTCTCTAAAGTGAAATAAAATCCTCTCCCAACATTCATATTACAGAAAGCCACATTTGTTACTTCTCAGCTGTGGCTGTGGCTGAGGTCACTCATTCTACCTGTAAGAGGTAATGCCTTATTTTCTGTCAGAAACCAGAGGTACCTTTTCAGACACCTGAAGATCTTTGTATGCTATCCCCTTTCGGTGAGATAGTCAGCAAGACTAACTCTGGAATAACATCAGTCCTGTCCTACTTTTCTAGCCTTATGATAAAGAAAAGTGCCATCACACTTGGAACTAAAAATGCCAACTTCAGGTTGCATTGTGTTTGTCAAGATAAGATAACATAAGGATGATTTCCTGGAAATACCCCCAGCCCTCCTTGAGGTAGGCAGTGTACTCTTCCTGCTGTACTAAAAAGACTTAGCTGTGCAAATCAAGTCTCTTAAAAATATAGATTTATTTTAAGCATGTGAAAAACAGGATAGGCACATTTATAAACACAGAAATATTAAACAAGGCAATGAACTTGCAGCCAGACAATGCAAGCAGTACCTCAGAGGCTGAAGTTACCGTTTCACATATAAAACCTGCTGATAATTGGTTGGTTTTGGTACTAGACATTCTATACTTTGCTCATCTCATTTTTAATTTGAACATATTTGGCCATTCCACCCCTTCCAAGATTTTATTTAGAAGTTATTTGCATAAATACCTATATATTTTAAATATTGTATTAAGTGCATTCAAATGAAGGATGGAAAAAGGTAAACACCCAATTTCCAGTGCACTAGAGGGGACTGAAGCAAAATCTACTCAGATCATTGACTAGAAAAAACTTCGTTATGAATCAAACCCTAAGAACATACTGAGTAATGGCACAGTAATGCAAACATAGTTTCTAGGAGACAACTTTAGAGTAGGTACTATTTACTAGAACTATGGTTTGACTGCATATTTGCCTTTAAAGCTTTGCAGAGCAAGGACACGTTCCTCTGTTGATACTTACTAGACTAACTATATGCTGAAGTTCGAACTGTTCCTCCTAATGAGATCCTGAAGAGCTGTACTGTAAACACTTTTATTTATTTTGAAATAGTCCATTAGTTCTTAGTCTTATTGTCTACATTTTCTTCTACACTGTGAGCTGCTATCCTGAAATTCCAATTAGTTTGTTGTTAGAAGTGCAGCCATTTCCATCTTTAACTAGCCTTTAAGCCTAAAGCTGCTTCTGTTAACATCAGTGAATCAGCACGTCTTGTTCAGAAGCTTAAGTTTTATAGTTCACAAGTAGTTAAGGGAAATCTAAGGACAGCTAAAAGAAAACACCAGCTTCAGCTCTCAGCATCTTGTAACTGATTTGTGTTTCTCAGAAAACTGGACAATGGCTAAGGGATATTGCAAATTAAAGCACTCAAGTATCATTTTTTTCCCTTTAAGACATATTGAGGAGGTAGAGGAACTGAGCAGTACCAAAAATTCTACTTGTTTTTACATGGGTGGACTCCTCAGCCTCCATTCTGAGAGGCCACTGCAGTGCTGGAGCCTCTTACCCCTCCTAACATATCTGTAACTTTTGTGGAAGCATGACCTTGCAATACAGTGAACAACATTCCCAGTATTGTGGTACTTACATCAAGGACAGAATAGTTACAGTGTTTTTCCCCTTATGCTCAAACAGGAATAACTCCTCTTGATATGAAAGTAAAAAAAGAAACTTTTTTTTTAAATTTTAACTTCCATCTCTATTTCAATTGTGCTTATGAATAGCTAGGGAAAAAATAATATAGAATTCAAAAGCTGAATTCTTTAACTCAGTCATCCTTTTTGTCAGAGGTGCTTGAGTTATCCTCTTCATTGCCTTCAGGACAGACTTTATTTCTTGTAAGTGGTGTTGTTTCTGAGACTGGGGTCACACCCTTTCTAGTCAGACTGTGTTTGACTTCAGGTGGCTCAATGTCATCCTCCTCCAACATATCTGACTGGTATCTCTGTAGCTCTAGGTATGTAGTAAACAACTTGGCATATTCTGGATGCTTCAGTGCAAAGTCCTTGAACTCATCTGAAAAATATAAAAAATACAGCTACTAAATGCAGCAACAGAATCAAGACAATTTCTGTGTCTGCTCCTTTTACTGAAGCTGATCTCCAGTTCCTTTCCTCTGAAGTGTCTCAGGCACATCACACAAGGTATCTAGGTCTGTGCTTTAACAGTTTTCCCCAGAAAAGGGGTAGGAGAACTATCAGATATTATCAGGGACAAAAAAAGGCAGGAGACTCTGTCAATATGACTATCAGAGTGCTCTATGTTACAAAAGGATGTAACTTACCATAGGACAGCTTCCCAGTTTCATCTGCATCTATTTCTTTAAAGAGCATGGAAACATCAAGCTCGGGCACTCCCAGAGCTGACTGAATGATAGAAGCAAACTCATCTTCTTTTATAGTGCCATCCTCATCCATGTCAAAGAGCTGGAGAAGACATAAAGTGTAGGAATGCTTTAGCGTCAGTTTGCCTGTGAACCTTCTGTACACATCAGCCACCCATACTAGATTTCTAGCATTCGAGAGGTGATACACAATGTCTGGGATTTGAAGAGAATGTTTGCATCTCAGCTACTCTCTCTTGCAAAGGATACTTTGTTTTTTTTCTGGAATAAGACTAAGCAGATGCTTAGCAGAGCAATATACATGCTCTATAGTTTGGATTAGAACATTCTGCAAAAACAAGCAAATCTTGCAGCATTAGTTCAGCAGTAAAACACAAACCTAATAAAACCAAAACACAATCAAAGGTTTATGTTTATTGTCACCATGAGCTATGCTAAGGGTTTAGTAGATTCAGCCATTCTATACTGGAACATCTTAGGCTTTAGTCTTATTTTTCATAAAGTTATGGAACATCTGCCATCAGATTAAACTTGCCATAGTTATGCTGTAATATAAAATACCTAAATTTTAGTGTATGTAATCAGTCATCCACGAAGGAGTTACTGTCATTAATAAGGAATTCTAGTGATGGGAATGCAGGCAGTGTATGTACACTGATCATCCCATCCTTCCCAGCACAGTGACAGTAAGCATCTGCTATGAATCAACCCCTTCAGAAATACAAGGGATGGATGGCAGGAATTCTTAATTACTTGCTACAGGCAAATTTTCCCATTGCAAAGCAAAGTACATTTAGTGGCAAAGAAAACAAGTAGCAAAAGGAAACCAGTAATTCCATTTCAGACTGAAACAGGCTTTTACCAGCTAAACCAGTCATTTCCTGCATGCTGAAACTGGGAATTCAAACAAATTACTAATTTTATAATCAGCACAACTGTTAAGATACTGAAGAGTATAGTCTAGACAGCAAAACAATGAAACAGCAACAATGGCTTCTAGGCTTGCTTCTTCATAGGAATCTAGTGATAAAACATCCCTCAAAAAAAAGCAGAAATCACTTTGAACTGCTGTAGGGCTTATCTGTGAAGCAGCCACTGGATATAATGGATGGCCATAAAAATTCTGGTACTTCCTGAGTATACATCAGCACTAAAAACTACCCAGTTTAAGATGAACATGATCCATATCTCAGTATATTGTTCAGTATGGCTCATAAGAACAGATTAGTGGGTAAAATAACTGAATGTGTCAAACAAAGATCTATTAAAAAAAACCTCAGTCGAGCATTCTCCTATTCAGGGACTCACAACTGGGACATCCCTGGGCACACATTGTCTGCTTGTACCTGAGATCTGAAAGGAGCAACTGCTCTTTGACTGCTTGTAGTATCAGGACATGGGTCCTCACATAGGTACAAGCCAATGGACCTTAGATGCAGCCCCATTTTGGATGTGCCAGTCCTGAATAGCCCTTCTTGATTTCCCCCCCTGGCTCCTCTATGTTAACAACAGTGACTCTACTGAGTGCTTGACCCACAAGAGGATATTGCTCCATCTATTGTCTACTTGTGACATTGAAAAATGACAACAGAAAAAACTTCATCCAAAAAAAC